TACCGCACAACTCTATGCGATGGCCATACGTTCCACACTTGAAACATATTTGATGGATTCCTTCATACTCAACAGGCCATTCCTCAAAGTTCAGCACAAATCTTGAAAGTAGTGGTTTGGTGATGTCCAATTCGATACAGACTCTTGCAAATTTACCCTTTGTGGCGAGGTTCGTCATGTAGTCGATCTTGATTGGCCGTCCAATCGTCTTTCCAATCTTCTTTAGGAATTTATCATCAAAGTATTCAATCGGCAGTGAAGGGAATCTCACCCATGCCAGGATCCTATCAGTTGTGTTCTTCCTTGGGTTGAAATTAGGTCTCCAAACTTGTGTGATCAAGTAGTGATCCAGGATTGTCCAAGGTCCCCCGTATTTCACCTCCTCATAGTCCGATAATGACTCGAATTTTGCCAAGAAGTAATCATGGTCTAAGGCTATCAATTGAAAGTCAGATTCTGGTCTCCACATTCTTTGGAGTCTTTGTAGCAGATAGGAATAGCTAACCGTTCGACCCAGGAGGCGGAGGATTAGGGATCTGCGCCAAGGTCGGCGTAATCTTTCCTTCTCTTCCTTCGTTACACGAATGACTAGGTAGTCGTACGAGACACCGTCCTGTTCCATGTCGTCATCCGACGCCTCTTCTTCATCCGGCGGTGGGGCTGGAGGCCTTCGATTCCACGCTTGGCTAGGCGTCGCCGCCGACGTCCTCCATTGATTTGAGTCAGGGGTATCAACCCTAGCTTCTCCCAAAGGGGATTCTTGGACAGTAGATTTTTCTTGCGGTTGAATCGTGAGCTCCATCTGGGTACGGTCTCTTTTGGACTTCTTTGTGCTCCTCTCCAGCAGGTCTTGGTCCTCCGGCGAGCGATTAGTCGCCGTCGTCGATGGGTTGTCCGAAGTTGATTCCGAGAGAGATTCAGAGAGAAATTCCATGTTTTTTAAGTGATGCGCCATACAATCATTATTGGACAAATTAAACGTGCCTGAGGGAAGTGTTATTACCAAAGCATTTCAGCAAACTGCCAGACAATTGATTGTTACTCAACTGTAATTCATACAGATAGTGAAGATCACAAAGGCTATCGGGAATGGAACCGCTAAGTTTGTTATTACTGAGACGCAATACTTGGAGCTTACTTACCCTACCTAGCATTGGAGGAATATACCCGACCAAGTTATTGCTACTCAGATCCAAGCCAATCAAGTTACTTAAGTTTCCAAGTTGATTTGGTATGATTCCCTTTAACCCACAACCCCTCACAGACAGAAGTTGTAGGGATGAAGAAAGATTCCAAATTGATGACGGAAGGATAGCATGTAAAGGGTTATAATCTAAGGATACCTTCTTCAAGTATTTACAATTTACCAAAGAGTTGATAATACTTAACTCTTGAGATGCAGCATCATTTGTGAGCATGTTTTCATCTAGAAATATTTTGTTTAGGAGCCTTAGATTGCCAAGAGATGTAGGGAATGTGCCGCTGAAATGATTTATGCTAAGATCTAGGTTAATAAGTTTTGAACAATTTGAGATAGAGTCTGGTACCACCCCAGAGAGCCGATTCGTTCAAAGAAAGAGTTGCTCTAAGTTCAATAGAGCATGCCCCATGCTTGAAGGAAGTGTGCCCACAAGGCTATTGTGCACAAATGAAATTATTTTTAAAGAAGAAATGTTGAAGATTTCCTTGGGTATGGACCCACTTAAGTTAGCCTTTTCTATTACTAATTCTTCCAACATATAAAGTTTTCCCAACTCTTTTGGTATTACACCTGCCAGCCAACAACAATGCAATAAGTATCTTCGTAAATATAATGAGGTGTTTCCTATTAGGTTTTTCAATGACATTATAATATGTTAAAATAAGTTGTGCATAAAAATTTGAAGTAACATAGGGATATTATTCTCATATATATTACATTTTAACTTTAATATATTTTTACTTAAATCAATTTGAACTATTTTAACTTCTTATCTAGAGTTACAAGTTCATGCCAAATGCCTTATGGACTTATGGTCGAACGGCATAGTTATAGCTTCTCAAATAATAGTACTAAAAAAAAAGTTACAAGTTCATATTCTTTAATGAGTAAGTACTCTTATATGAAACTATTTTAAGTGAGACATGAAATATTTTTAACTAAAATATAACACTTTTCTATAAATTCATAAAAATATTACGTTTTAATTAAAAACCATTACAAATCTCACGTGAATAGACTTTAACAATATTATACACTTATGTAACTTGTATTCGTTTTATGCAACTTTTAGTTTTAAAAAGTAGTACCTATTAACACAAATTGTTAGTTGTTTATTACAAATTTATAACAAGTGGAGAACTGTACAAATTAATTAACAAAAATTAATTTTTTTGATATGTACTTAGTTCCATATTCTTATTTAACTTTAATTAACCACTTTTAGCAAAATTGTTGTGACTAGTCTGAAAAAATTGTGGGTCTTTTACTAACGGAGACCGTTTTCTAATTTTTTTTAGTTTTCATTCTTTGTTTTTTATTTTCTGCTTTTTTCTTGAGAAGACATTTTTATTAACTCTTATTTTTTTAGTTTTTTTTTAAGATTAATGCTATAAAATTAACACACAAGTTTAATTTCGACGATGATCTATTGAGTATGAGTAGAAAGAATCTCGCCGGAAATGGAGAGAAGTTCATCAGAGAAGAAAGAACATGAGTAAAATGACTAAAATACCCTCATTATTTGTCCAATTAAATTTTTTCGGTGAGATTTGGCCGGCAATTTGACCGGCGTGACCAAAATTGATAAAAATTGCATAGTCAAAGTACTAAATTAACATTTTTGAAAGTCAAGTGTTGCAATTAAAACAACCCCAATAGTCAGTGGACCAAAATTGAAATTTTCTTTAGAATAAATATCAATTTTTTGTTGTAAAAAAAAAAGAGTTAATAATCAAAATGGTCCCTTAATTATAGTGAAATTATCAATTTGGTCCTTGACTATTTTTTTGACCAATTAAGTCCCTCAACTTTAAAAATCTTAACCAATTTGGTCCTCTGTTTGTTTTACCGTTAGGGTTCTGTTAACTCGGGACCAAATTGGTAATTTCACTATAGTCAAGGGACCATTTTGATAATTAACTTTTGAATTAATTTCATTTTTGGTTCAACGATATTTGAGGTCTTATGACTTTTGGTGCACAACATTAACTTTTTTTAATTTTGGTGCCTTACTTTGTTATTTTATCAGTGTTGGTCCTTTAATTTCAGCCAAATTAACGGCGAAATGTTGCCAGATTTTATATTTTATGTACAAAATCATCATCTCAAGAAAATATCTAAACAAAAGAAAAAATCATATTAAGAGAAAAAGAAGAGTTTGTCAATCGTCGACGTTTTAAATTTGATCTCATAGATCTATGGCTAGTTTCTGCCCGTCTTTCCTATTATTCTCACCGATCAAGCACATATAGATACGATTTTACAGTGGTTTTGTTTAGATATTGAATACGTTTCCTTGAGATCACGATTTTACCTCTAAAAATATAAAATCAGGCAATATTTTACTGTGAGTTTGGTCGAAAGGACAAAAACTGATAAAAATAACAAAGTTAAGCACCAAAATTAAAAATATTTTAAGTCCAATTATGTAATATTTTTACATTTAATATCCAAACCAAATTTATATATGTATATATTTTGAGAGGCACTGAAGCTAGCCCAAAGGGAATCGTCACTTGTGGGAATTGAACCCGAGTTATCCCAAAATTCTCCCCCACAAAGAGAGCTCATTTGCCACTTGAGCTACCCTGTTGGGTTAAATTTATATATGTATATAAAACATAACTAAAAATATATCTAAACCAATAACCTATTAAGTTCACTTAAAATTTAGATTAGATCATATTAATATTATTTGAGTTAATATTTAAAATATATTTGTATATATTCATTTGAATGACATGTATATAAATATATAATTTTTACTTTGAATTCTAATATAGTAATATATGTTAAATTTCAATGTTTGATATCTAAAAGTATCCGAACCTGTAAACTAAACTATGCTAGGAAGAAGCACAAAGAGCCAATAAGCACAAAGAGCCAATATCGCATTCACTAAGTCTCAACCCCACAACCTCCCTTATAAGGGAACAACTTGGTACCATTGAACTACAAGGTCCTTGGCAATTGACATATAAATTAAGAACACGCAAACTTGACAAGGGGGATATATATGATGACAATATATATATATGATGAACCAATATCACTACCATTATTTATTTTTTTTCACACATATATTATTAGGTACTGCTCTTAACAGAAAAATGTAAAATGAGTAAATATAATATGCTCATGAATTTAATTTATATAGACACATCTTCATATTAATGTAAGTTTGGAAATCAGTATTAACTGATTAAATAATATTGCTTAGCTTATTGCAAATTTATAAAATGTACAAAATAAAAGGGAAAAATAAAAATTTTAATTCATTAATTGTGACCATGGTGTAAATATAATCTCTAAGTTATTTGACGTGAGCAAATTTCATATTACATATGAAGTAGTCGTCTTTACACATACATGATAAGTGATTGCTAGCAAAATATAACTTGCCAAGCTTTTGTTAACTTTCCAAATTCTTATGGTACGGTACATATATGCCCACTAAAATATTGTAAGGTTGAGATAAACATGATCGGATTTCATCCCTAAATTTGTTCAACAGCATATTAAATATTTGGAGTTTAGGAAAATGATTCCCGAAATAAAGGAAAAGTTCACCAAATAAGATATTAGCGGAAAGAGATAAATGCATTTACCTAATAAATATTTGTATAGTGCAATTCAAGTATCATGGCGCTAGCGCGCCACAAATGACTCCAATCTAATTATAAGGAGATATCTTTATAATTTACCAATTATGAGCTAAAATAAAAAGATTTCAAGAAAATTTTGAATTTAGAAAAATCAAGGCATGCAAAATTGTTGTGCAGCTCCGGATTAAGCTGTGGACTTTTTTATAAATTAAAAACTATTTATTGTACTTGTTGTGCTACTACTATTATTTATTATTTAGCAACTAACATAGCACTGAACGTACCTCCAAAGTTGTTGTCTTCAGAATATAGAACCTCAAGTGCAGTTAAGTTGCCAATTTCCTTTGGTATGGCTCCTGAGAGAAGCAAAGAGAATACATTTATTGTGGAAAAAATTAGCAGGGTTATTATTTATTTTTATATTAATATTTGGTAAAGGAATAGAAGGGATCACCCAGTAAAATACATTATTTTGATAGTATTTGATTTACATATATAAAGAGGTCGTATAAGAAACTTCGTTATTAATATTTAAATAAAGATAACGTAAAGATGTCAAAACATGATTCCCCTTTGAAATTACATCTTAATATGATTTTCATATTAATTAATAAGCATATGTTAATATTTAGGGGAATTTGTATAGGCATGCGCTTGAGTTTATTGGTTATTTTGTGTCTTATTGCTTAATAATGCTTATATATTGTCTCAAGCAGCAAATAAAATTGTCGTAAGATGGAGATATAGTTTGAAGCAATAAACATTTATACAAATTTGACGTAATTTTAACACTAAAAACTTTTCTTAGGTATATTAAAATTTTGGAGTATAGGGAGATGATTTCCTAAATGAAGAGGAAATTCACCAATTAAGTTATATTAACTAAAAGAGATAGAGTTTTCAACTTAGACAAGTTTAAAATGTTCAAACGAAAAAACTCATTAAAATATAATTATAACTCAACTATTTAAATTAGATAGTATTTAAATTTTGTATAAAAGTACCATAAAGTATGTTGTTATATAAAGCAAGTTCGCCCAAGGATGACAAAGCCCCTATCTCCCTTGGAATAGCACCTACATAATTTACATATCAATAAACAAAATATTAGTAAATAGGAGAGAAATCAAATCAAATCATCTATATATTATGAACCGTACCTTTCTCGCAAATATGAATAACACTACCATTATTTATTCTGCACTTATATATTAGTTACCGTTATTAATAGAAATATGTAAAATGGGTAAAATAATATGCTTATCAATTTAATTTATATAGACACATCTTCATATTAATGCAAGTTTGAAAATCTGTATTAACTAATTAAATATTTTCAAAAAAAAAAAAAGTATTAACTAATTAAATAATGTTGCTGATTACAAATTTATAAAAAGTATAATATAGAGAAAAGGTAAAATATATAGTTGTTTTAGTTCATTAATTGTGACCATTGTGTAAGTATATATAATCTTTTGAGTTATTTGGAAAGAAATGGAAGTGATCATCTAGTAACCAATGGAAAGGAAAATTTCAACAAAGCGAAAGGTATTATATATACATACCTGTTAACTGATTGCTACTAAGATCTAACAACTCAAGCTTTGTTAAGTTTCCAAATTCTCTTGGTATACGCCCACTAAAATTATTGCAAGGTAGAGATATAATTTGAAGCAATGAACATTTAGATAAACTTGATGGGATTTCACCACTAAATTTATTCCATGGCATATTAAATTTTTGGAGTTTAGGAAGATGATTCCCAATACCAAGGGGAAGTTCACCAAATAAGCTATTAGATGAAATAGATAGAATTTCTAACTTAGACAAATTTAAGATGCCCAAAGGAAAAGATCCACTAAGATGATTAAGACTCAAATTTAACCACTTTAGTTGGGGAAGATTGCCCATTTCTCTAGGAATACTCCCTTCGAGAGAATTAACTCCTAGATGTAAGACCTCAAGTTTTGAAAGATTAAAAAGGGACGTGGGAAGAAAACCACTAATGCTATTATTCTCCAAATACAAAAACCTAAGGTTTGGTAAGAGACCAAACCACGATGGAATAATCCCACTAAAGTTATTCATGTTGCACTGAAGAACTTTGAGGCGTCGCAATTGAGAAAGTTCTCGAGGGAAGGAATTATGAAAATTGTTTTGGCTCAAGTTAAGTGAAATAAGGAAAGAAAGGTTTCCTAAGTTTGGAGTTAATTCTCCAACAAGACCCATGTTGGAAAGATCCAAAGCAGACACTCTATTGTGACGAGAGTTGCAAGTGACTCCAATCCAATTACACGGAGTTATGCTGTTAACAGACCAATTGTCAGCTAAAATGCTATGAGGATCAAAAGAAATTTTAGATTTGAGAGAAAGAAGGGCATGTTTGTCGGTGGTAATGTTGGTATGGGCATTAATGGTTAAGCAAAGCATTAGAGAGTGGAAGAAGAAGATGGATAAGCAGAAATAATGGCGAGTGATCTCCATGGAATCACACAATCTATTATGTAAGCAAGTTTTCAGCTTTAATTTGATAAAAAATGATATAGAAGCTGAGTGCTTTTTTATAGCCATACTGGCCTGGTGGAGGGAAATTTCTCAAACCCAATACCGAATTCCATAGCACTTCTCAATAGTTTTATAATAATAAAATAAGATTTAATATTTATTTTTTTTGGATGCTACTGACTCTATTACGAGTTGTAATTTCTGTTCATATTTAACTACTTTCTCAACCTACTGAAACAGAAAGAGCCAATAACGCAATCACTAAAACTCAAACTCACAACCTCTCATATGAGAGTCTAACCCAGGTGCCATATGTGCACAAGGTGCTTGGCAAATAAGATTTAATATTAGATCCTCAAGAAGCAATGTCGATTTTATGTTTCGAAATTTGTATTTCATTTAGATCCTTTTATACAGAATAAAATTTTAATTTATAATATGTGTTCTGTTAAATTTTTAAAGCTAAATTCTAAATATGGTTCTTTATTACCTATCGCTTATTTTTAAATTAGAGGACTAATTGTTTGAGGAGGAACGCTCTCTTTCAAAAGGATTTGCGGGATGTGAAGCAAACCATTTGAATTCGCAGTTTGTTGGTCATTACATTTGATCTTCTAAAGTTTTACCTCTATGACCAGTTGAACTACTCATGCGGACATTTGATGATGTAGACATAATTTATCAAATGGACAGTCTTGAGTAGTATTTAGGGATTTCTCTCTCCATAAAAAAAATGAATCAAAGTTGTCCGTAGGGAGTGACGAAATATATAAATTCGTAGAACATGATTCTTGTATCTGAAGGACAATTCAATTTTTGTAAAACCCTTGCACAATCATGAGTAGTAGGTGTCCAGGAAAGATTAGTGATCGAAAAATTAATTAAACTTTAAAATAGCTAATCATGACAAGTTAAAAATGCAACAAAAATTTGGAGATAACATACAATAGATCACGTGGATATTTTTTTTTTTTTTTTTTTTTTTGTGGAATTACGAAATCAATTTATTTTAGGTTACGTTAGAGAGATCAAAACGCGTGACTTTAGGGGTGTTTGGTTGGGAGGAAAGAATTAGGAAGGAAAGGAATTGAAATTTTGTGAGAAAAGAATAAGGTAGGAATTCAAATTACATTGTTTAGTAAGAATGAATATAATTATTTGGAATGAGAAGAAAAAAAATGGTACAAAAACTAAAATGTCTTTGTGTAATAATAATAATAACACTCAACAAGGATATTTGTATCATTTCATCTATTTTTCCCTTTTTCACAAGCATTGAATTGCAATTCATGGGGGCAATTCAACAAAAGGAGGGAATTGCAACTCGGTGGAATTGCAATTTCCCCCAACCAAGCAATGTAATTGAGGCTGTAACTGAATTACAATTCAATTCAATGTCAGTTGGTGTGCAATGCTATCAATGGGGTAGTTGTGGATTTATCTTATATGCCGGTTGCGTGACTTGCGTCATTAATGAAATTAGAGATTATCAAAGACACTTTGAAGTGGTGTCCTTCAAATTTATTCCTAGATCAGTGAATAAGGTTGCTTATGCTTTGGCAAGGGTTGCGCGTTCGCAAACTGGTCCTACTGTTTGGTTTTCTTCAATTCTTATTTGTATTCAGTATTTGATTTAATAAAATTACGTTCTTTTGGTTTCAAAAAAAAAAACAAAACAAAACAAAACAAAAAAACAAAAAAAAAAACCTACATCCACCCAAACACCCTGTTAAAGTTTAGTTAACTTTTTTTTTTCAACTCCCAAAATTAGAGTACTTTTAACAGATGCCTAGTACTAAAACTATAAATACACTAAAAATATTTTGGATTAAATATGTATTTTTGTAATCTGAATTCGTTCAAAATTCTTGTGTGAAAAGTAGAAAACTGAAGAGGTTCACAAGGTCTTGTTAGTCAATTGGCTTCACTTTTTTGGTAATTTTGTCCGATTCTTACGTAAATGTTTGCTTAATCCAACAGCTTTCATTAATTTCAAATATGAACATCAAGAAAAATTGTGATGAACAATAATCAATTAAAATTAATTATTTAATGTTTGGAATACTTAAATCTGGCCCTTAAAACACTCCAAATTCGTTCAAATTTCTGGTGGAAAACTGAAAAGGTGATGTGAATGTATTTTCTATTAACATAAGGAAAACTTTAGTGTTTGAAATTTTATTAAAGACTATATTTGAGTCAACTACAAGTTAAATTTTGACTATGCCAATAAGGGGTGAAGTGGTGTAGGGAAAGGGGGTGAACCCGGTAAAAATTTTGCCCCTTCCCCTACTCCCAATCTCCAATTCTCTTTTTTTTTTTTTTTTTTTTTTTTTTTTTTTTTTTTTTTTTTTTTTTTAGTACTACTAACTCTGTTACGATGCAGAATCTATTCATAACTACTTTTCTCAACATACTAAAACACAAACGCACCGTTTGGTTCACGGAATGAATTTGGAGGGAATATGAATGTTATTTTACAGGGAGTGGAATAGATAAAAACAAATAGAACAAGAATTGCATTCTATTGTATTCCCATGACAAAGTAACCGAACCAAACAATGGAATAGGTCTATTCCAAAGAATGTCATTTCATTCCTAACCTATTCATGAACCAAACATGCCAAAAGAGTCATCCCCTATTCCTACTTCTACTTTTTGAATTTTTTTTTATTTGATATTATTAAATTTTATATTAGAAATTAGTTTTAAACATGTAGATTTTATTATTACCTTTATTTTTTACTAGTAGTTGCACCCGTGCAATGCACGGCCATATGTATAGTATATGGAATATACAGTATAAAATATAGTTATTGAAAATCTAATAAATTTCAACTAATAAATTTGATTACACATTGTTGAAGACTTCTTTGTATAAAATATTTTTTGTCCTACTTAGACATGCTACATTTTCGCCACAAATCAATATTTTTAAACCCCTTGGATTACTAACTTTTGAAACAGTTACGTACATTTGGCCATGGTTAAAGACCGGTCTTTTCAAAAACAATCCCACTTTTGAAAGTGTTTGTCCTTGACTTTAATTTGTTTATTGTCATGGTATAGGATATCATCAAATGAAATTGCTTTCGTTGGAATTTGAAAGGCAGTCTTGGATTTGACGGTGTCAGTAACATTCTGTAAATTAATACTCTTGTAACTGCATTTGTACCACACATGATATGGGCTTCCAACACGTGATCAGCTAACCTTGTAACAATCAACCTTGTACCGTTGCATAACCCAAGAGTGTGATCAATGTTTCTCGAGAGCATAACAGGTGACCCAACTTTCAAAGTCAAAGCATGATTAGGTACTCCAGAACATCGCAGACCATTCAAGAATTCTGGGGTGTGTAAATCCGCTAACATATCTACATTTGAATATGACTTACAAACAGAATCACAACTCAAGTAAGTCCTACCCTCACCCGGATTATGATCATTCATGTATTGGTTAATGCTATCTACCACATCCAATGTTGGAGCCAAAATAGCACTATCCATAAGATATGACAGATCCCCATTACCACGTCTAAACATAGCTAGGGAAGGTGATATCAACAATTGTAGCAATAGGATTATCATTACACTTGAGCAATAACTCATCTGGAATTGTAATACCTGTTTCACCATCACTTGAATTACCAAATATTCTGTCACCTATATTAGCTATCCAGTTTGCAAACTCTTCAATCTCTTTAGCCTCAATCTATGATTGTACACTTCTTAGGCGTAGATTCTTAGTTAGCCTAAATACTTTACATGATCTCCAAAGATATGAGGAATTTATGCTCGCCCCAACAATATCTTGTATTGTGCCCTTTGGAATTACTAGTAGAATTATCCTGAAATCGCTACAAAAAACAATTGTTTTACCACCAAGTGTCATTTCATAACTATTTGGATTTCTGGAGCGCAACAAATCCCTCATAGTTCGGTCGAGGGCTTCAAAACAAAATTTGTGCATCATTGGAGCTTCATCCCATATTATCAACTTCCTTTGCACAATAAGCTCAGCCAATGGGCTACCCTGACTTATGTTGTAAGTGGAATCTTCATTAACAGATATAGATATGGCGATTTGTGCACTACACTATACATAGTACACATGCCCAGCATAATTTGCGCACTACACTATACATAAAATATATATATTCATAATCCAAACTTTTTATTAGCCCAACATATGTCTAAACCCAAATTATATAGAGTAAAGCCCATCTCATATGTCTGATCCTAACCCTAAGTTTAAAAGGTGCAAAACATTTCGCCTTCTTCAATAGGCAATCTAGACACGACTTCTACTCATATCTTCACTCTGTCAACATCGATACCAGTTATTAGCCCAAGCTCTCGTTCTCTAGTCTTTTTCTTCTTCTGTATCTTAGGATCTTCATCTGTATCGTATTTCTTCTACACTTTGTCAAATTATACCCAGATTATAAATATAAAATTTAAAAATTGTACATTTTTATAAATATAACTTTAAAAAATTAGATGCAATAATTACATAAATTCTAAAGTATTGTAAATATATAAATTTTAAAATATGTTAAAAATAATTACATATTAGTATAAATTTATGTAACCAAATCCCAACTCATTTATTAAACATAATAACCCATTTATGTAACCCTCGAAATCAAAGTTTTTATTTATGTTACCAAAATTTGGCCGAAAAAAAAAAACAAAAAACAAAAAAAAAACAAAACCCAACCCCAACACTATGTATTGTTGTTATGGTGTGATAGTAAAAATTATTAGTCTTATTAAATTTCAAATATAAATATGATACGTAAATCTCTATTCGATAGTATGTATATCGTGTGCATATGTTTATTAATTAATAGAGCCTGAGTTCAAAACATGATGTTTATATGTATGCTAGTGTGCCATTGTATTTTAAATTGTGTGCAACAAATTGTGTTTTAAACTGTGTTTTAAATTGTGTGCTATATGCAAGTACCAAAACTTAACAAATATCATACTAAAAAAACATAATTCAATT